CAAACTGGGACCCAACTCGCCTCCCCTCACGTTGCCCACGTGTCGCAGACTGCATCCTCGTGTGACAAGTCAATTTTTTAGTCGACTCAAAATGCAACCGGGGCCCACTCGCAGACCGCATCTGGATGCCAGCAGCGGCCATCACTAGCACTTCCCCATTCCCCTTCCTCTCCCACACAACTCCTGCCCCCAACCCCTCCCCTCTCCCCCAATTCTCTTGCCCCCCCTCTCTCTCCTTGCCCACATGGCCTAGACCTCAAGTGCATGGCAGCAGCGGGCGGACCCCACCAGTTGCCAACTGCACCACCTGCACCACCCGGCCTCCTCTGCTTCCCATTCTCCCCCCATTGCTCTTGCCCCCCCCCTCTCTCTCCTTGCCCACATGGCCTAGACCTCAAGTGCATGGCAGCAGTGGGCGGACCCCACCAGTTGCTTCCCCTCCCCCCATTCCTCTCTCCAGCACTTCTCTTGTCCCCTCCCCCCATTCCCCTCCCTCATTGCCCACACGGCGCAGACCTCAAGTCAATGGCAGCAGCGGCCCTCACCAGTTGCCACCTGCACCACCCGCCCTCCTCTGCTTCCCATTCTCCACGCATTCTCTGCCTGGGGCTAGGAGGGGGCAGTCTGCCTCTCTTCCTCGCCCACGCTCTGCCCTGTGAGTCTCCACACGAGAATGCACAAATGCCAATGCACATACACATGTTAGTCTCACCTCTGCCCCCCCTCCCTTGCGCGTGCTGTGCCTGGGGGGGCTAGGAGGGGGCAGTCTGCCTCTCTTCCTCGCCCACGCTCTGCCCTGTGAGTCCCTCCTGCACCATCTGCTCCTCCCTACCTCGCCCACTGCCCCCTTGCTGCCCCCCCACCCCTGTGCGTGCTGTGCCTTGGGCTGGGAGGGGGCAGTCTGCCTCTCTTCCTCGCTCATGCTTTACCCTGTGAGTCCCACCCACCCACCTGCTACTTCCCATCCCTTGCACGAGGGAAGTGGCACAGAGCTTTACCATTTCCACTTGCGCACTCTCTGCCTCGGGCTAGGAGGGGGCAGTCTGCCTCTCTTCCTCGCTCACGCTCTGCCCTGTGAGGCCCAGAGTCCCACCTCCACATCTCCATCCCTGCCCTGTGAGTCCTCCACATCTCCATCCCTGCCTCGCCCACTGCCCCCCTGCTGCCTCCCCACCGGGGGCAGTCTGCCTCTCTTCCTCGCTCACGCTCTGCCCTGTGAGGCCCAGAGTCCCACCTCCACATCTACCTCCCTGCTTCTTCTGCTATCTCCCCTCCCTTGCGCGTGCTGTGCCTGGGGCTTTGATGGTGCAATCTCCCTCTCTTCTTCGCTCACGCTTTACCCTGTGAGGCCCAGAGTCCCACCTCCACATCTACATCCCTGCTCCTTCTGCTACCTCGCCCACTGCCTCCCCTGCTGCCTCTCCACCCTTGCGCGTGCTGTGCCTGGGGCTGGGAGGAGGCAGCCTTCCACTCTTCCTCGCTCATGCTCTGCCCTGTGAGTCCCTGTGAGGCCCAGAGTCCCACCTCCACATCTACCTCCCTGCTCCTTCTGCTACCTCCCCTCCCTTGCGCGTGCACATGCCAATGCACATGCACATGCGAGTCCCACCCGCTGTCTCCCGTATCCCCCTCACTCCCCCCTCCTCCCCCCATCCCTCCCCCAACCGCCCGCACAGACGCAGTGGAGATCGATCCAGCAGTCATAGCAGCAGCCACACACCACATGGGCTGCAACCCTTACGGCCTCTCTACCTTGTCCCCGATGTGCCCTCTGCTTCTTCTCTCCCCCCAGCTGCCCACATAGGCGCAGTGGAGATCGATCCAGCAGTCATAGCAGCAGCCACACACCACATGGGCTTCCACGCCTTAACCTCTATCCCCCCCCACATCCACCCTCCTCCATTTCCACCTCCTCTCAGCCTCCCACATCGATGCAGTGGAGATCGATCCAGCAGTCATAGCGGCAGCCATGCGGCACATGGGCTTTTCTACCTTACTGCCTTACTCCTTCATCCCCCCTTATTTCCCCCTCCTCCCCCCATCCCCCATCCAGCCGCCCACGTTGACGCCGTGGAGATCGATCCAGCAGTCATAGCAGCAGCCATGCGGCACATGGGCTTCAACCCTTACTGCCTCTCTACCTTGTCCCCGATGTGCCCTCTGCTTCTTCTCTCCCCCCAGCTGCCCACATAGGCGCAGTGGAGATCGATCCAGCAGTCATAGCAGCAGCCACACACCACATGGGCTTCCACGCCTTAACCTCTATCCCCCCCCACATCCACCCTCCTCCATTTCCACCTCCTCTCAGCCTCCCACATCGATGCAGTGGAGATCGATCCAGCAGTCATAGCGGCAGCCATGCGGCACATGGGCTTTTCTACCTTACTGCCTTACTCCTTCATCCCCCCTTATTTCCCCCTCCTTCCCCCATCCCCCATCCAGCCGCCCACGTTGATGCAGTGGAGATCGATCCAGCAGTCATAGCAGCACCCATGCGGCACATGGGCTTCAACCCTTACGGCCTCTCTACCTTGTCCCCGATGTGCCCTCTGCTTCTTCTCTCCCCCCAGACGCCCACGTTGATGCAGTGGAGATCGATCCAGCAGTCATAGCGGCAGCCATGCGGCACATGGGCTTCCCAGAATGGGCCGTGAGAACCAAGACAAAACCATTTTCTGGATCAAAAGCAGAGGGAGAGACAGAGGCCCTAGCACTGGGTGGAACGCCGCTACCAGAGGACCAAGCAGCTGCCGCAGCAGCAGCAGAGCGGGTATTATGGCAGGGCTTGTACGGAAGGGTGGCAGTTTATAACGAGGATGCAGTGAGCTTCGTTTTGAGGGCTGCAGAGAGGATTGGGAGAGGAGGGGGGGATGGGGAGAGTGGTAGGCGGGGGGAGGGGGAGAGTGCAGATGCAGGAGATAGGGAGGAGCAACAGGAGCCGTACGATCTGGTGCTGGTGGATGTGTTTGACGGTTCAGATGAGACCCCGCCGGAGCTGCTGGATAGGGACGGCCCGTTCCTGAGAGCCTTGGCTCGGGTGGTTCATCCGAGGCACGGCACACTGGTGGTGAGTGTGGTGAGAGTGATTGAGCGTGGTTAGAGTGAGTGAGTGTGGTTAGAGTGATTGAGCGTGGTTAGACTGAGTGAGTGTGGTGAGAGTGATTGAGCGTGGTTAGAGTGAGTGAGTGTGGTTAGAGTGATTGAGCGTGGTTAGAGTGAGTGAGTGTGGTTAGAGTGATTGAGCGTGGTTAGAGTGAGTGAGTGTGGTGAGAGTGATTGAGCGTGGTTAGAGTGAGTGAGTGTGGTGAGAGTGATTGAGCGTGGTTAGAGTGAGTGAGTGTGGTGAGAGTGATTGAGCGTGGTTAGAGTGAGTGAGTGTGGTGAGAGTGATTGAGCGTGGTTAGAGTGAGTGAGTGTGGTTAGAGTGATTGAGCGTGGTTAGAGTGAGTGAGTGTGGTTAGAGTGATTGAGCGTGGTTAGAGTGAGTGAGTGTGGTGAGAGTGATTGAGCGTGGTTAGAGTGAGTGAGTGTGGTTAGAGTGATTGAGCGTGGTTAGAGTGAGTGAGTGTGGTGAGTGATTGAGCGTGGTTAGAGTGAGTGAGTGTGGTGAGAGTGATTGAGCGTGGTTAGAGTGAGTGAGTGTGGTGAGAGTGATTGAGGGTGGTGAGGGTGAGTGAGGGTGGTGAGAGTGATTGAGCGTGGTTAGAGTGAGTGAGTGTGGTGAGAGTGATTGAGCGTGGTTAGAGTGAGTGAGTGTGGTGAGAGTGATTGAGCGTGGTTAGAGTGAGTGAGTGTGGTGAGAGTGATTGAGCGTGGTTAGAGTGAGTGAGTGTGGTTAGAGTGATTGAGCGTGGTTAGAGTGAGTGAGTGTGGTTAGAGTGATTGAGCGTGGTTAGAGTGAGTGAGTGTGGTGAGAGTGATTGAGCGTGGTTAGAGTGAGTGAGTGTGGTTAGAGTGATTGAGCGTGGTTAGAGTGAGTGAGTGTGGTGAGTGATTGAGCGTGGTTAGAGTGAGTGAGTGTGGTGAGAGTGATTGAGCGTGGTTAGAGTGAGTGAGTGTGGTGAGAGTGATTGAGGGTGGTGAGGGTGAGTGAGGGTGGTGAGAGTGATTGAGCGTGGTTAGAGTGAGTGAGTGTGGTGAGAGTGATTGAGCGTGGTTAGAGTGAGTGAGTGTGGTGAGAGTGATTGAGCGTGGTTAGAGTGAGTGAGTGTGGTGAGAGTGATTGAGCGTGGTTAGAGTGAGTGAGTGTGGTGAGAGTGATTGAGCGTGGTTAGAGTGAGTGAGTGTGGTGAGAGTGATTGAGCGTGGTTAGAGTGAGTGAGTGTGGTGAGAGTGATTGAGCGTGGTTAGAGTGAGTGAGTGTGGTGAGAGTGATTGAGCGTGGTTAGAGTGAGTGAGTGTGGTGAGAGTGATTGAGCGTGGTTAGAGTGAGTGAGTGTGGTGAGAGTGATTGAGCGTGGTTAGAGTGAGTGAGTGTGGTGAGAGTGATTGAGCGTGGTTAGAGTGAGTGAGTGTGGTTAGAGTGATTGAGCGTGGTTAGAGTGAGTGAGGGTGGTGAGAGAGAGGGGGCAGGCAGGTGTGTGCACCTGTGAGTGTAGTTGGTGTTGCATTTGGTGCAAGGCACATTGGTGGTGATCGTGGGAAAAGAGGTAGGTGTGTGGGTTGTTTCAAGCAATCTCGTAAGGGTTGAATGTAGATAGATTTGTTGATTTTTTTCACCCATCCATCTCCTCCCAGACGAACATTTCCTTCCACACTGCACTCCACTCCACTCCACTCCACTCCACTCAACTCCACTCCACTCCACTCCACTCCACTCCACTCCACTCCACCCCTCTCCACCCTACCAGATGAACGTGCATGCAGACGTGCCACCGCCATCCCTGTGGGAGCGGGTGACGGGTCGATTTGGGGACGGATGGGCGGATGAGAGTACGCAAAGAGGGAGAAGGATCCATAAAATTTGCCGAGCCTACAGGTGAGCACTGAGTTGGGTTCAGATGCAGAGGGGTAGGCTTCTCTGCCATCCCTGTGGGAGAGAGGGAGAGGTCGCTTCGCTTCAGAGATGGGTGGGCGGATGGGAGCACGCAGAGAGGCAGGAGGACTCACGCCGTCTGCCGGGCGTACAGGTGAGGGCTGGGTTGGGTTCACAGACGGACGTGCCACAACAATCCCTGTGGGAGCGAGTGACGGGTCGATTTGGAGACGGATGGGCAGATGAGAGCACGCAGAGAGGGAAGAGGAGGACTCACGCCATCTGCCGGGCGTACAGGTGAGGGCCAAGTTGGGCTGAACGAGTTGGGTTCAACTTATGGGGATGGATGGGGCGGACAAGAGCACGCAGAGAGGCAGGAGGATTCACGCCATCTGCCGGGCGTACAGGTGAGCACTGAGCGGGCTGACTGGAGTTCAACTGATAGCTGCTTTACATGACGGGTCGATGTGGGGATGGGTGTGCGGTGCAGATGAGGGCACACAGAGGGCTCCCCTCTAGCGGCATTGCCTTCACGACAACAACCTCCCTCCCAGGGCAATATGACCCTGGTAGTGCTCTCTCTTCCTCACTCCCCTCCCTTCTCTCCCTTCCCTCCCTCCCCTCCCTTTACCCCAACACAGCTCTTCCCTCCTCCCTCCCATCGGCATTGCCTTCATGACAACAACCTCCCTCCCAGGGCAATATGACGCTGGTAGTGCTCTCTCTTCCTCACTCCCCTCCCTTCTCGCCCTTCCCTCCCTCCCCTCCCTTTACCCCAACACAGCTCTTCCCTCCTCCCTCCCATCGGCATTGCCTTCATGACAACAACCTCCCTCCCAGGGCAATATGACGCTGGTAGTGCTCTCTCTTCCTCACTCCCCTCCCTTCTCTCCCTTCCCTCCCTCCCCTCCCTTTACCCCAACACAGCTCTTCCCTCCTCCCTCCCATCGGCATTGCCTTCATGACAACAACCTCCCTCCCAGGGCAATATGACGCTGGTAGTGCTCTCTCTTCCTCACTCCCCTCCCTTCTCTCCCTTCCCTCCCTCCCCTCCCTTTACCCCAACACAGCTCTTCCCTCCTCCCTCCCATCGGCATTGCCTTCACGACAACAACCTCCCTCCCAGGGCAATATGACCCTGGTAGTGCTCTCTCTTCCTCACTCCCCTCCCTTCTCTCCCTTCCCTCCCTCCCCTCCCTTTACCCCAACACAGCTCTTCCCTCCTCCCTCCCATCGGCATTGCCTTCACCACAACAACCTCCCTCCCAGGGCAATATGACCCTGGTAGTGCTCTCTCTTCCTCACTCCCCTCCCTTCTCTCCCTTCCCTCCCTCCCCTCCCTTTACCCCAACACAGCTCTTCCCTCCTCCCTCCCATCGGCATTGCCTTCATGACAACAACCTCCCTCCCAGGGCAATATGACCCTGGTAGTGCTCTCTCTTCCTCACTCCCCTCTCCTCCTTCCCCTCCCTTCCCTCCCTTCCCTCCCTTCCCTCCCTTCCCTCCCTTCCCTCCCTTCCCTCCCTTCCCTCCCTTCTCCCCCCCACAGTTCTTCCCTCCTCCCTCCTAGTGGCATTGCATTCACTACAACAACCCCCTCCCAGGGCAATATGACCCTGGTAGTGCAGCGAGGGGTGGTGCTGGGGGAAATGGCGCAAGAGAGGGAGAGCGGTTATCACGTGAGCCGACTAAAAAGTTGCAGCCTTCACAATAACCACCTTTCTCTCCCTCTGCACCTGTCTCCCTGTCCCCCCTCCCGCCCTACAGCTCCTCCCTGCTTCACCCAGCCGAAACCCACACAGCCCGGCAGAGTGGCATAGCCTTCACTACAACAACCCCCTCCCAGGGCAATATGACCCTGGTAGTGCAGCGAGGGGTGGTGCTGGAGGGAGGTGGTGGGAACAGACAGGCAGAGCTAGAAGGGCGGTTGAAGGAGGCAGCAGCAGCGGTGGAGGAGGAGGGGGCTGTACCCTTTACAGTGGCACCCAGGGTTGTTAGAGGGCTCAAGGTGCTTCCTGTGGAGTGGTGCTGTTGATATACGAGGCTTGGGGGGAGCAGTTCAGACAAAGCAATATGATGCTGGCAGTGCAGTAAGGGGTGGTGCTGGGGGGAGGTGGGGACAGGCAGGCAGAGCTAGAAGGGAGGTTGAAGGAGGCAGCAGCAGCGGTGGAGGAGGGAGGGGCTGTACCCTTTACAGTGGCACCCAGGGTTGTCAGAGGGCTCAAGGTGTTTCCTGTGGAGTGGTGGTGTTGTTGATAGGCTGAGGAGGAACAGTAAGGGCACGGCAACGCTCTAACATAGGGCGGTTGAAGGAGGGAGCAGCAGCGGTGGAGGAGGAGGGGGCTGTACCCTTTACAGTGGCACCCAGGGTTGTTAGAGGGCTCAAGGTGCTTCCTGTGGAGTGGAACTGCTGACATACTCTGGGGTGGAACAGTAAGGGCAAGGTAACACTGTAACTTAGGCAGTAATTTATGCATCTTGTGTGTTGCTATGAATGTCGCTATGAGGTCAAATGTACCCTGTGCCCGCGTTACGAAGCACTAGGAGCAAGCTCTCCTGCTGTCCCCCAAGTTGCTATGGGGTTTTTGTACGGTACTATCCTTCCACTACCTGGACTTGGTACTGATTGGCTGGCTTGGAATGGAATGGAGCCCGTCTGCCTGCTTGGCAAAGTCATTGCTCGTGGGTTTGCAGCTTTAGGGTTGATCCACATGACACGAACCTCTAGCAACTTGTGCAATGAAGCAGCAGGGAGAGAGACATGAGATGAGTGCTCATGTAGCTGCAGCAATGCACCTCAATCATATGCGCTGCAGTCGTTGCCTTCACTCCATTCAACTCCACTCCATTCAACTCCACTGCGTACTCATTGTCTATGTTTCACACCTGTCCCTTCATGGTAATGCACAGAATGATAAGCAGCTGTCAAGTGCAGTACACAATGATATAGTTAGATACTCATACACTATGAACAGATTGAGGTGTAGAAGAGTCAATTTAGTACAAGAAACTTGGAAAGACATCACCAGGAGAGGTGTAGTGTAGTATGACATGCATAGAAGCTGAAAGGTACCGTACACAACACAGTCCACAAAGTATGGCGCAGAGCAGAGGTCGATTATTGCTAGGAAACGAAAAGAAGTCACTCACTCACTACAAGCCCTTTCCTTACACCCCAAGTGTTGAGCGAAACTGGGAAGGTGTTGCGCGGTGGAGAGCGGCGTATATGAGGTACGCTGAACGGCCATTGGCGGGCATGGGGCGAGAGGCCATGCCATGCTCAGCAATCCGGCAGGCATAGGGACCACCATCATCCGAATCCCGATCAAAGTGAAGCCAGAGCGGTGCAGCGTGGTGGACTGTGGTGTATACGAGGAAAAGCAGACACCTTTCGGCAGCCATGAGATGGGGCCATGCTCAGCAATGTAGCAGGAGATTCCGGTCAGACACCATTCAGGAGATTCCGGTCAGAGTGAAGCCAGAGCGGTGCAGCGCGGTGGAGAAGGGCGGGCAGGCAGGCAGGTCAGAGCAGGGCCAGAGGGGCGTGTTTAGGGAATGGGTTGATGTCATGGCTAAGCAGAATGCGGTGTTGTAAGCGAGGGATGTAGGAGAAGAGGGAGCGGTGTGGTGAGAGAGGATGGGACTGCGGTGCTGTGCGGTGCAGACGGGCAGGCAGGTCAGAGAAAGTCAGAGCAGGTCAGAGCGAGTCAAAGCAGGGCTAATGGCATGTGGGCGGGGAGCGGGTCGACCCCATGGCTGAGCAGCATGTGATCCCTCAGACGAATAATGTCGAGGAAGAGCGGGCGGTGTGGGAGGAGGGAGAGGTGCGCGGTGGTGATGGAGGCAGAGGAAGAGGACGGGCAGAGCAGACAGCGGTACTGGCAAGGGGGGAGGGAGAGGGGGGGAAGCAGTGGGAACAGGAGAGGGCACCGAGGAGAAAAGAGGATGATGAAAGAAAGAGCAAGTTGAGAGATGGGGATGTGAGTATTTCATGACCGGCAAACCAGTAACACGCCCCATTCCTCAGTTCAGATTTGCGACTTCTCAAAAGCGACTTCACATGACCATCACACTAGTAACACGCCCTTGACATCCTCTCTCACATGAGGAATGGGGATGTGGTATTGCATGCTCGGCACACCAGTATCACGCCCTTGACATGCTCGGCTCCACGTAATGGCGAACCGAAAAGCAAGGTTATTAAAGAAAAAACACATTCAATAAGTTTCTCGCGAGTTGCAGTTTTTCAAGTATGCCCTTGTCAAGCAAGTCTGCTATTCATCCACACGTCTTTGCATCGTAGTACCAGGTACCTGACATCCGGAAACTCGTGTGAGCTGTTTCAGGTCATGCCTTTAATGAAAGTTGTACCTCAGAACAGTTTTCAACAAGAGCACGCGCGCCATTGTTACAGCTGCTCTCAAAGGCATCAACGGTTAGTCAAACGATTCACGCAACTGATTGCATTTCGAGTGCCATTCGATTCGTGTCACACGATTTTCATGAGTTTCGAGTGTTTAAACATCATGTTGACAGCATCATCTTGGACTCTCTAGGTGTCATTCTCGCTTATGGTCAAACGAGCAGCGGCAAGACTTTTATCATAAAGGAAGGCGTCATCCCCCTCTTCATCAAACAGGTGTTCGGCCACATCGAGAAAGGTAACAAATCAACATAATAGCCTCACGCAATCCTGGGCTAAACTGCATACTTCATGCAACCAGTTTAACATTTTAGCTCAGGACTTCGTGAGGCTGTTATGTTGATTTGTTACCACTTTCTCGATGTGATCTAACACCTGTTTGATGGAGAGCGGTATGACGTTTTCTTTCATGGTAAAGGTTTTGCCGCTGCTCGTTTGACCATAAGCGAGAATGGCACCTCGAGAGTTCAATATGATGCTGTCAACATGATGTTTAAACACTCGACACTCATGAAAATCGTGTGACACGAATCGAATGGCACTCGAAATGCAACGCATTGCGTGAATTGTTTGACTAACCGTTGATGCCTTTGAAAGCAGTTGTAACAATGGCGCGCGAGCACTTTTGTTGAAAACGTGTTATGAAGTACAAATTTCATTGAAGGCGTGATCTAAAACATATCACACGGGTTTTCGGATGTCAGGTACCTGGTACTACGATGCAAAGTGGGTGCCTGGCAAGGGCATCCTTGAAAAACCGCAGCTCTCAAGAAACGTACCAAATGTGTATTATTTAATAACCTTGCTTTTCGGTTCGTCATTGACGTGGAGCCGAACATTGTTGTCACATGTCTGTCACATGTCACCAGTAACACGCCCTTGGCATGTCACTCGGCACTCTCACTCACCTCGTTGTCCTCACGCTCTAACAACTCAGCACTTTCACTCACTTCGTTGCCCTCACGCTCAAATAGCGACAATAATGGAGATAGTGATGATGATGATGCCACGCCTTGGCTCCATGTGACCCACCCCGCACCTACACGGGCACCAACAACACCACTAGCAATCCCACACTAACCTCGTTTCCCTGGCGCTCAAACAACGACGATGATGGCAATGGTGATGGTGATGATGCCACGACTTGGCCTTGTGCCATCCACCTTGGACCTGCACGACCACCAGTAGCAGCAGCAGCAGCACCACCAGCAGACACACCAGCAGCACCAGCGCCGCCACCATTACTCCCCACGGCAGAAGTAGAAGCGAGAGGAACTCTTGAGTCGCCGGGGAAACCAGAGGAGGCAAAGGGAGGGCCGCCTGTGAACGCCTCTGGGTGCCGGGAGGAGCGCATGCGGGATAACCAAGGTGCGGCAGTCGTAGCAGAGAGGGGAGGCGGGGTGGTGGGATCAGCAGCGGGCGCAGCAGAACCAGCAGCAGCAGCAGCACCACCGTTGCTGCCACTGCCACCGACAGCAGCAGAGGCAGAAGCAGCACCATTACCAGCAGCACCAGCAGAAGCACCACTCAATCCTGCCGCTCCCTCTGATCCCCATCCCCACCCTCCCGCCTCACCTCCTCCTCCCCACCTCCGTTCCCCACGCACTCTCTCTCCCCCGCGCCCTACACCATAGCTTCCCCCACCACCACCAACCCCACCATCAGGAGGCATACGAGACTGCCCGTAACTGCCCTGGTGACGTGACAAGGGGATTTGTGATCCCTTCTGGGGGGCCAAGGGGTGTGCTTGGAGGTGCGGTGGCACAGGGTGTGGAGGAGGTACTTGGCGGGGGCCCACGGGGTGTGCTTGGGGGATGCGAGGCGGTGGTGGTGGTGGTGGAGGGTGATTGCTCTGGCGAGGCTGAGGCAGCGGGTGCATGCGGGAGGATCTTGGAGAGGGGATTTGAGAAGGCGAAGGGAGAGGAGAGGGACGCATGGAGCGGTGGTGGCGGGGTTGGGGGAAGGAGGGGTCTGAGGCAGCAAAAGGAGGAGGAGGAGGGGGAGGGGGGCGGGGAGGACGAGGGGAAGAAGCAGGGCCAAACTCCCGCTCTCTCATTCCCCTCATCCATTCGTTATAGTCACCTTCTTCATGCATCCCTCTGCCCATGGGCCTGCCCTCCCACATTCTTACCCTTCGCCCGTCCTCCTGCTGCTCCAGGTGGGAAGGAGGAAAACTCTCCTGATACAGGCCGGAAAGCAGAAAGGTCTCCCCATAGAGGCCCGAGGAGGGAAAAATCTCCTGATGCTGCATGCGGGGAGGGGGAAATGGCTCCTGCTGCATGCGGGGAGGGGGGAAACCCTCGTGCCACCATGATCTAGTGGCAGGGTGTGCGTGCTCCCAGGCCTCCCACTCCATCTCCAGTCCTGAGTTCGAACCAGCAAACTCACCGGATGCAGGATGGTGGTGCATGTGGTGGGGCAAATGCGGCCGCCGCTGCTGCTGCTGCTGCTGCTGCTGGTGATGGCGCTGGTGTTGTGGGATAGAATGATGGGGATTGTGGGAAGAACCAGGAAAGAGTGGATGGGCGAAGGCAGGAGGAGGAGCGGGGGAGCGGGAAGAGGAAGAGGGAGCACTCGAGTGTGCGGCAGCTGCTGCAGCAGCAAGGTAGGGGCAGCCAGAGGCATGTGCATGGGCCGGCGGGTTGGGGGGACGGGAGGAAGGAGAGGGACGGGAAGGGTCTGAGGGATAAGGAGAAAAGGAAGGTTCAGAAGGATCAGGAGGATAGGAAACTCCTCCCCTTGCTCCTCCTCCTCCACCCCTTCCCTCCACACCCACGCCTGCATTTGTCATATCTCTCCCTTCTCTTCCTTCTCTGCCTCCAACTCCTCCTCGTTCTCCCTCCCCTTCGTCTGTGTGCCACCCAAAGTGACGACCTGTGATAGGAGGAGGGGCGAAAGGGTAACGGTTGCTGGCTGTTGGCGCACTGCGATGGCAGGTGTTACATCAAGTTGACTTCTGAGTCGACTCAAAAGTCAAAAGGGGAACGGGTCATGACTAACAGCGAGTTCAATAGAACACCATGTAGGTGCCATGGTTTCAATACGTGGCAGCAACTCTTAGGGATTGACACCTTGAAGGTTGTTTGTGTAAAAAGTCAAAAGGGGAACGGGTCATGATTAACAGCGAGTTGTTATGGAATGTGTCGCATCCCATTGCATGGCATGGTATGGCATGGCATGGCATGGCATGGCATTCCCACCCACCCTCGTCATGCAGACCAGCCATTGCGGTCATGGCATGCTCTAGCTGGTGGTGGTTGTAGCGATGGGGGTCATACCGCGACCTGCCACACACAATTCAGACAGACAGCACGGGAAGGCAGGACAGGAAGGCAGGACAGGAAGGCAGGAGAGGCAGGTAGGAGAGCAGCAACAGCAAGTGAGGGCGCAGAGACTAGAGTGAGAGGGCGTCACTTTTGAGAATTCTCAAAACAGAATGCGAGGGTGCAGAGTTCAAAGAGAGAGTGGGCAGGGCAGGCAGGGGTCCTCGCTAGACCAATCAGGAGAAAGAGCAGCGAGGGCAGGGCATGCAACGGCAAGACTTGAGCAAATTGAGAATCTGATATCAGCGGCGCAAAGCAGCATGGGTGAATTGCGTTGGGTGGTTACCAGAGACGCACGGACGGGAGCGAGGGGCTGTAGGAGTCCATGTATGCAGCATGAGATGCATGCTCGCCAGGGTGGTACATCTGTAGGGGAGGGCGCAAGGCGGGCGTGTGGGGGGGGGAGGGCGCAGTAAAGAAGGGCTATAGGCGTGTATGCAGCATGAGTGGCGCGCTCGCCAGGGTGGTACATCTGTACGGGAGGGCGCGGAGAGAGCACGGAGAGGGGAGGGCGCGGAGAGAGCGCGGAGGGGGGAGGGCGCGGGGAGAGCGCGGAGAGGGGAGGGCGCGGAGAGAGCGCGGAGGGGGGAGGGCGCGGGGAGAGCGCGGAGAGGGGAGGGCGCGGAGAGAGGCGCGGAGGGGGGAGGGCGCGGGAAAGAGGCGCTATATGAGTCTATGAATGCAGCATGAGAGTTGCGCTCGCCAGGGTGGTGCATCTGTAGGGGAGAGCGTAAGGGGAAGGGGGGAGGGGGACGGCGCGGGAAAGAGGCGTTATAGGCGCGTGTGAATGCACCGCGAGTGGCGTGGCGCGCTCTCCTCTCCAGGGAGGCATATCTGTAGGGGATAGCGCAGGGTGGGGAAGGGAAGGTCGCGGATGGGGAAAGGGATGCGCGGAGGGGGGAAGTGGAGGAGGAAGGGGGGGGGGGGGGGGGGGAGGGGAGGGGGGGGGGGGGGGTACTTCAATTAGAGATGCAGGGACGGGAGCGAGGGGCTATAGCCCATAGGAGTGTATGTTCCTTTTTGCTTAAAGTTTCTCCTAAGCTGCAGCTCGGCCAGCCCTCATGGCTGAAGGTACTCGGGAGCGAGGGGCTGTAGGAGTGTATTTTTGCAGCATGGGAGACGCGCTATATGAGTCTATGAATGACGCGCCCATCCCCAACGAGCCCCCATTCCCCACCCCACCCCCCACCCAATCCCCCGTCCCGTCCCCCCATGTCCCATTCCCCACGCACATCAGCATGAACCCACGGGAGCTGAGGCAGGTCTACCCTATGCACATGCGCCATCAGCCCGCCTTCCAGATCTCATCCAGTCAACCCATGAGTTTCAGACCCGTTATTCCCATGCCCATCCCCCATCTCCACATCCCTCATCTCCCCGTCCCCCATCCCCCACGCACGTCAGGCATGTCTACCCCATGCACATGCGCCATCGGCCCGCCCTCCAATGCCTCCTCCATAGCATGCTCCGATATAGCATACTCCTCCTCCATAGCACGTTCCGATATAGCATGCTCCGATATAGCATAGTCATCTTCTGCGTATTCTTCCCCCACAGGCTCCCCCCCCCACCACCACTCCGCTTCTCCCCCCCTCTCCTCCCCCATCTGCATCCACCCCGTGCCTACGCCCTCCCCTGCTTCCCCCCACCCCACCCCTGCTTCCCTCCACCCCGCCCCTTCTCCCCCCCACTCCAAGCCTGCCCCTCCCCTCCACTCCCTCCCTACTGCACCAGTAAACCCTCCCTCAAAAGTAGCCTGGAATTCGCGAGCAGCAGCGGCGGCAGCAGCAAGATCGGAGAAGGAGGCGGGGAGGGGAGGGGGGGAGGGGGCGGAGGCGGATGGGGGGAAGGGGAGGAGCCAGTGGCCGTGCTCCTCGCTGCGGCAGTTGGGGCACTGCATACGGCGCTTGGCGTTGAAGGCGGAGCCAATGCAGTCTGGGTGTAGGGAAGGGCGGAGAGAGAGAATGGAGGAATAAGAGGTGAGACTGAGGCTCCTCGCTGTGGCAGTTGGGGCACTGCATGCGGCGCTTGGCGTTGAACGCAGAACCGATGCAGTCTGTGTGGGGAGAGGGGGGAGAAACAACGGAAAGAATGCGCGAGTAGAGGTGAGAGTGGGGCTCCTCGCTGCGACAGTTGGGGCACTGCATGCAACGCCTGGCGTTGAATGCAGAACCAATGCAGTCTGGGGGGGGGAAGGGAGGAGAGAAGGGGAGCAGAGGGGAAAAAGAAGGACTATTGAGGAGCCTCGCTGCGGCAGTTGGGGCACTGCATGCGGCGCTTGGCGTTGAAAGCAGAACCAATGCAGTCTGGGACGGGAAGGGAGGAGAGTTGTGGGGCAGAGGGTCGGGTGAGGGGAGGGAGAGACGGTGAGCAGAGAACAGGGAGCAGTGGGGAGAAGAGGGGAGAAAGGAGGGCAACGGAGGGGAAAAAGAAGGGGAGCAGTAGGGGGGCAGTTTAGGCGCTGCATGCAGCGCTTGATGTTTGAACGCGGAGACAAAACGGGGGGACTTCAGGCGGAGCCGAGTGGGAGAAAAGGCTGGGGAGAAGAGTCGACAGAGAGCTTCGATCAGCTTACCTAAATGGAAGCCGTGGCCGCATTTCAGACGCGCTGTGGACCGTTCGATGGAGCACACATCAACGGCGTCAAGGCAAATGGAGCACAACTCCGCTTCACTCGAAGATCCCCCTTTCTGCTTCCCCCCCGCCTTCCCCTTTCCTTCCGCCTCCCCCTTCCCCTCCCCCGTCCCCTTCACCGTTCCCTTCCCCTTCAACGTCCCCCTACTTCCATTCCGGGCTTGATTTGCCGTCGCGCCTCCCTCATCTCCGTCTTCTTCCTCCGCTCCCTCCGCTCTCTCCGCTCCCTCGTCCGCTCCCTCCTCCGCTTCCCCTTCGCTCTCCTCCTCGCTATCCTCCCCCATCTCTTCGGCTGCCCGTTTCCCTGCCCTACGGTCCACGACGGCTTCTTCTTTCCCTATCCGGCTGCCCGGCACCGCACGTCCCGGATTCGAGCGGCCACGATTCAACGACGCAGAGATCGGGCCGTCCATAAATGCGACGCCGGAGATACCGACAGTGGCGGCGGGAGGTGCGGCGGAGACGGTGGAGCCGGTTGCGAGACCGGAGGCCGGCTCGTCCGTTGGTCGCGCTACAGACAGGCGACGCGAGTTCGGGGATTCCATGGCCTAAATAGACTCCGTGTCGCGCGAGTAATGACCATGGCCAAACAGCTAACCCTAGTCAGTGGACCGTTACAATACGAACCCTCATGACCATTGGCCTACCTTGAGTTGCTCATGAAAAGTCACAGGACCCTGAATTTGGAATTTCTCAATGGTGCTGTTCGCCAGCACATCGATTCTTGAACAGAAAACGATGGCATCGGCATCGCGACCGCATATGGAAACGGGGGCGGAACCCTCCTCCGAGGTTTGGGCGTAATGCAGCCCGAGAAACTTCGCGCACACGAAAGGGGAGATTACGCAACCGCATCGGGAAGGTCCATCCTCACCTTCCCCCCTGTGGCGCGAAAGTTTAGCCTCACTGACCCATGTGCTGCCCGCTGGCCAAAATTTGCTCAGCGTGGGTAAAAAGCGCAAATAAAACACCTCCCGCTCAAACACAACCCCCGCCACCTCGTGCTTACGACCAAGTTATGTGCGGGGGGCATTTCGAAGGAGTGTTTGGGATGGAAAAATGGGGGGTATACGAACCCCCCTTTGTCAAACTGCAGGCTTGTTCAAGGGTTCCCCTCTGAACAGCAATGCGTCGGCTGTGCCACCGCTGTGCTTTGAAAAACGCGGCATGACGATGGCATGGCTAGGGGATGGTATTTTGCCTGGGGACGAAGTTTCGTCCCCGCTTCCATATGCCGTCGGAACGTTAGAGTTGGTGGACAAAAGTGGGCGTTCGCCAGACGCCCAGTTTGTTTGTTGGTTTGGACGGTAGGTGAGCCTCGGCACTTTTTTCACGGGCTGACCCGGCTGACGGAGGTAAACGAACTCTAACTGACAAAATGGGACTCTATGATTCTTCCCATCAAGCCTAGCTCTCCGCCATGGCTCCTTAGGAGAACTTTGGTTCAGCAAATGTCCAGCTTACCTCAACCAGTTCAGCAATCTGAATCTATTTTCTGGATCTACTCTTCAAGGGCTTGTTAATGACACCAACATTGTGTTCAAACAGCGAACATCGGTTAGTCTTAACGTCACTTGAGAAGATCTGTACTTTCAGGTTATAAAGCTGATGTTAAGCTCAAGACATTGGGTTACTCCAAGGAAGCTTCAATGGTCGAGTTCATTTCAAATCGTCACCTAAAATGGGACCTGAGAATCAAGGCATTTTCACCAGAAGTAAAAAACTGCAAGTACAAGGAAGATGGACCACGTAATATTTTCAGATTATCAGTTTTTACTGCCATCTATCAACAACCAGTGAAGAGGAAGAAAGTTCGGAATAAAGCGCCAGACATTAATCAAGTGGTTTCACTAGCTAAGGTCATGGCTGGATCTATTTCAAGTCATCACCCAAGATGGCATGGAGAAGAAATTTCATGCTCTGGAGAACGTGAGAAGTATTTCTTCAAGGAACCAGGGCAACGACGTTCGACTCTCAAAACGTCCGAAATAACTACGTTAACGGCTGCTGAAGTGCTTGAAGGCGAAGAGGTGTTTCCGTTGGAAACGTTCGACCTGGATGATTTTTCCTTGGCTCGCCTGTTCAACGACGAGTACTTATTTACTAAGGCTGTGGACGACGGAACGACATATAAAGTTCGACATGAGAAAGGCTGGAAGTTACAGGAAGTGCATCTGCAACTGGAGGATAATGCTGACGGGAGTTTTATTACTGCTGGACGACATGGATTGATGCAAGATTTTCGTGAAGTTGCTGTGCTTTCTAGAGCCAGGACAGTAGAAGCTGGTCCTCATAGGCGTCGGAAAACGCCCAGAAGATTTCGTGCAATTCTCTTGTGGCAAGCTCGCCGGGACAGACCTGCTATTGTTACCACTTTCTACCGCTTCAACGTCAAAACACGGGTTGCTGAAACCACCTCACTCAAACACTCAGTGGTGGCGACTCAATCAAGGCTGAAGAAAATCACGCGACAAAGAAGTGTCCACAGGTTACCAGATCTGAAATGTGGCAAGTGTGCAAAGGAAGCTCCATACGGGCAAGGAAATGTTTTTAGGCATTTGACTTTTAGACCTCCATAGGAATCTGCGAGGGTACAGTAGAAACTCTACCTAAGCCCTCTAGCTCCGGTTACGACCGACGGTGTTTTTGCGTTGTATAATGCATTTTCACCTACCAAAAAAAAAAAAAACGAACGAACTCTAACTGACGGGATCAGGAAGGCGAGAGGAACATTCCTGATCCCGTCGTATCCCGTTGTTTTTGCTATAATGGTGCTGGCGAACAACCCCAATATGTCTGTATTGCTCATAACCGGATGTTGGTTCGTTGCATCTGCTGTGTGCAGTGCATACGCTTTACAATATATACACACGTAACTTACACTGCGAGTTGAGACATCTCAGGATACACTGCTACCTTAATGGACAATTTCACATATTCCGTTTTCTACTTTGGTAGATGAATAAATAATTCTTCCTTAGAATTCAATTTTGCTTTCATAATGGCTCTTCTCGTTATTTATTGTATGAATTAATGCTAATGTGAAGGTTTTGGTAGCAGATGTGATTCTTTGTTTACAGGTAAATTCCAAGAAGTGAGAGAACTTCTTTGTTTACACTTCGTATTTGTCCCACGATTGCTCAAAAAAAGTTGGTGGGTATCAATAGAACGAGTACACGATCTGCAGTGTGTCCAATAAAATCATGGTGTTGCATCAATTCTCGATCGGCTTCAATTACGGAATGCCGTCCGATACTGGAAGCCTGTCACATTTATCAGCGGCTAGATCAGTTCCTCATGAACCATCCCACCCAGCACACCGCATGTGCTCAATCCATCGACTAGGGGCGTCTCCAGAGCCTCGGGCTTGTGCGGCAAGGGGATCGCGACGAGCACCCATAAACTCTCCCTCACATTCTCAATCACAAACAGTTCCGCACATCTGTTTCCACTTCTTCCATTGGAGTTTTTGTATCAAGTTATCAGAAGTTTCAATCCACCACACTTCATCAGCACCAGCATTATCAGTGAAGGCCTTTCATCTCGCTACGTGATTCGCCTCTAGACAGCCATGTCAGGACGCGGAAAGGGAGGCAAGGGCCTTGGAAAAGGAGGCGCGAAGCGTCACAGGAAGGTTCTTCGCGATAACATCCAGGGCATCACCAAGCCGGCTATCAGGCGTCTCGCTCGCCGCGGCGGTGTCAAGCGTATCAGCGGTCTCATTTATGAAGAGACACGCGGCGTGCTGAAGGTGTTTCTCGAGAATGTCATTCGTGACGCTGTGACTTACACCGAGCACGCGCGGAGAAAGACGGTTACCGCCATGGATGTTGTTTACGCCCTGAAGCGCCAGGGTAGGACGCTCTACGGATTTGGCGGTTAGACTGAATGCAAAATAGCAACTTAGCTCTTCACAATGTGTTCCTTAGTTTGTAACTATGATAATTAAACATTTTCTGACACTATCCAATTTCTTGTATATGTACCGGAAGGCCTAGATATCTAGTCTAACCCTTTTGTCGTTGCCCTGTGCTCGTTTAGTTGAGCTTGGTCCTGTCATGTGTACCGCAAGCTCTAGCTATCTATCCCTGTTGCCCAGTGCTTGTTTAGTTGAGCTAGCTCCACTGGTGTCAGCAGCACCCCGCAAGGTCATGAAGGTTACAGGCCGGAACCTGTAGTCCTACAATGCCGTGCTTTGCATCTGCTCTCCAACAAACTGCCTCTTGAGAAGAGCAACTGCAGATCTGAAATCATAAAATGTAAACAGCCCTTAGCAGGTGGCAGACTGCCTTGTTTTGACAAACTCCATGGAGTGACACACATGATGACCTCGTGGCAGATGCCAACTGCCAGCAATTGAGTATCTCACAGTGCTAATTTAGATCACAAGTTGTGGGGACATTTGTCACATAGTGGAGCAAGGGCAACAGTCAGGGTTACCAGTACCTCATTCCCTTCTGTATTATGCAAAAAGAGGTACCAGTACCTTCAGAGGAACTTGATTCTCCATCCTTAGCATTGAAGATTCACTTCAGACCTACATACCAGCAGAGCAGAGCTCACAGTTGTCGCTCAGGTCCCTCCCCGCCTGCTCCTCTAGGGTGTATGTGTCTTGGGAGTCTTCAAGAATCAACTCTGAGCGAAGAGATAAACCCCATTCAAGAGCCATTATTGTTAGAATCACTAGTAGCTAGGTGAGGAATGATTATTAGGTGAGGGAGAGGGGGTACAAGAGTGTCGAGAGAGTTGGGTTGTACCCTCTAAGGTGTGACCCTACACAACCTAGAGTAAGAACATAACAATATGTTTTGACACACCCCCATAGGTGAAGTAGGGGATAGCCAAACCTAACAGTGGTCACAAGACCAGTCAAGCAACAGAACAAGCAAGGCAAAGCCCAGGGTGGATCTCAAGGACACCACACAATCTGAGCACAAGCAGGCGGCCACAAGGCCAGTTCACATGCAGATTTATAATAGCAAGGCAGTAAACATGCAGGTATAAAGATATATATAGCAGTGTATAACAAGAGCAAGTCAAGCAACCAGCAGGTGAGGCAGAGTGGGCACAAGCCCAAGAGCAGTGCAGAAACGCTGATGATCACCAGCCCCAAGGGCCTTGGTGAAGACATCAGCAGTGTTGGCCCGAGAGGCCACGAAGGCAAGGCGCAGCTGACCACGCTGCTGCAGCTCACGCGCAAGGAAGTAGCGCAGAGCAATGTGCTTAGTTCTGTGCTCCAGTCTCTGCTCGCGACACAAGGCAAGCATTGCCTTGTTGTCGACGTACAGAACTGGAGGAGAACGAGGCCGCTCCCCCAAGTCGGTCAGCAGGTAGGTCAGCCAGCGGAGCTCCTGTGCAGCCATGGCCCCAGCGTAGATCTCGGCCTCACAACTGGAACCAAGCACAGAAGAAGAACGAGTGGACCTCCACGAGACAGAACCAGCGCCAAGACTGAAGGTGTAGCCCTGTGACGAACGCTGAGTCGCCTGGTCGTCGGCCCAAGAGGCGTCAGAGTGTCCTGTGAGGACCACCGAACCCCGTCCTC